GATCTACTCGACCACCATTATGGTAACCGCCAAAAAAAAAACCAGAGGTGTAAAAAAAAAAACGGTAACCTGGTTGCCGAGTTCACGAAGTGAATTGGCTTGTTTTACAACGTCATTGCCAAGCGACGAAAACCCAACCCCGATGGCAAACACCGAGGGGGGCATGGTAATGGTGGGGGAGGGGTTAGAAGGAAACCGGGATGGATCAAAGCATTTGTTGGATTTCAGCTTTTACAAGAGGACATCAACGCAGTAGTATTTTAGCAAGCTTACGAACGCATATAGGATACCATGAGGATTGTCATTGGTTTTATTTCAAGTTGAAAAGGAGATATTTTTACGATGTAAGTGATAGTAGAAATAAGTCCTACATATGTTGTTGTACTTCGTATTGGTTTAATATTCATGTAGAGTGAGACATTAAGTGGAAGTTTTCTGAGGTACATCTGCAATTGTCGGAAGGCAAAAAAAAAAAAAAACGGGATGATTCTGGGTGGAACCATGGGTGAAAATGTCGCATGTGTTGTTGGGTTCTCTAGCTTCAGTGACCGTCCGTGTCGGAAAAATCATGGATGTAGTAGGCCCGTGTATTGCGCCATGCTCGCCATGAACGAGCCTAGATGGTGCATGCGATGGTTACGACGGGTATTCACGAGCACTCACTATTTTGGGCGGTACGGATGGTGTGCAAAGATGGGGGGGCGGTACGGTACGTGGGCAAGGCCACGCGCAGGTTGAAACCTTACCGATCGTCACTGTTGCTCAAGTTCAATCGCGACCACCATGTATCACGAGCTTCCCCTGCAAGAAACGGGAGGCGCCGCCTTACCTTGACCCCCACGGGAAATATCTCCACCAAATTGGCATCCCGAATCGGCAATGTATTTGCCGTTCCTTACGCCCGTGCTTCTTTTGGGGAAAGTAGGCGTTTGTTGGGGCTCGGGATATAGGGTAGAGAATGTGTAGCTGCACCCACCTGAGATGGATGGATCCGGCGGCCTATTCTCTGGGCCATGGCCACCCGCTCCTCGTAGCGGGTGGCCTGCTGGAAGACGGACCAGAACGCCTGCCACGTCGTGCCGATGTCGAAGTTTGTCCCGGGCATGGCAGGGTGCGGCTCTGGGCCGTAGAGGTGAACGAACGTCGCCTTGCCCCCGTACGCCTCCACCTGGGGGAGGGGGGTTGTTTGGTTAGAGATCCGCGGGTTGTATGGTGTCGATACAGTAGTGTTCTTCGCTCGTGCGGCAGCATGTAAGCCGTGGCGTACCCTTTCCATTGATATGATTATGCCATTGCGGCAGCTTGGGGCTTATGCAAGGGTCAGCCTATCCGATGGCGACGACACGCAAAGGCCCGGCATGTCTCCTCCTCTTCCCCCCCCAACCCCTCCTCCAAGACGAGAAAAAAAAGGCAACATACTTCCTTCACCAATACAAACACTTCCACCCCCACCATGAGGTCAATGGTCTAACGACTGCGGCATGCACGACTATGAGTACGCCCCCCCCCAACCCTACCAAAAAATAGGCATCTTCCTCCCTCCCTCCCTCCCCACTCACCAGGTCGTACTCGTCACGGTAGCCGCACTTGTCCCAGGGGGGGTACGTCCCGTACCCCTGGAACGCGGGGCAGGTGAACATGCCCCAGACCATCACCACGGGCAGGCCCGTCCGCTCGAGGGTCTCCCCGAGGTTCCACCGCCGGCCTTTGAGGTCGTGCAAGGTGAAGTCGACGGCGTCCTCCCCCACCGTCAGCGGGAGGTACGGCGTGTTTCCCCCGTTCACGGCCTTGATCGAGTTCTCGCGGTCGAAGTTGTTCGCCGGGAAGTCGAAGCAGTTGGACGTCAGGTCGGACTCCGGGCGGAGCTCCGCGCTCGCCCCAGGAATGAGGCCCCACCCTCCCTGGTCTCGCGGCGACGACACGTGAACGAGGAGCAGCACCAGCAGCAGCGGTAGCAGCGGCAGCAGCGGCAGCCCTCTCCCGTCGCGCCTTCCTTCACCTCCGCTTGAGGGTTCCGTACGACAGCGTCCCTGTTGTACACCCCGCCGTCGTGACCCAGTCTTGGTGCCGCCGCCGCCGGCGGCCTTCTGGGGGGCGTCGCCTGTCGCGCAGCGGCCGCGCTCCTCGGGGATCCCGCGGGCGGCCTTTACCGTCCGGTATGTTGGCCGCCGGCTTCGGGGACGTGCCGCCAACGCCGCCGCCGCCGACGACGACGATGACGATGACCCTGCCGGTGTGACGAGACGGCGCCACTCGCTCGGGAGCTGCCGCCGCTGGCGCGTCACTGCTGCTGCCCAGTGGTCACGGCGATGACGAACCGGCGTCGAATCCGCCGCCATGTTGTCTCCTCTTGCTTGTCTTGTTGCTGCTTTCTGCTTGCTCCCGGTGCCCACCTGGGGACCGATCGAGCTACTACAGCGGGCTGAAGAACAATCTGGGACGGCAGCTGTAGATTGGCTTCTGAACAATCTGGCGCGACCCTCCCCCCCTCCGTAAGAAAGAACCCTTCGGCAACAGAGCGTGAGTCTTTGCCAGAGGACCAAGACTACGCCCTCGTCGGAAACGTGGTGATCCACCCCAAGGCTCGCCTGCCGTAGTCGAGCTTGGCTGCGTTGTCCGGCGTCGCCCCAAGCACACGCAAGGGTCGATGACGCCGCTGGTCCCGATATTTGGAGCGTTTATTTACGCGGGTGCCCGTTAATTGTCTCTCCTCGTCAGGCGTCTGCTAGTTTAGGGTGCAGGGAGGGCGCGCGGTGGGTTGTGGGCTATCAAGCTGTCAACTTGCACTCGGCCGAGGGTGTGTACATGAGACACGTTCAGCGTGCGGGATGAACAATTGTTTGTTGTTACAACCTGCCCGAACTTGCGAAAATAGGCGAAGCAACGGAGTGCAATGCACCCGTGATGGGCAATATCCTGGCAAGAGTCCTTTCCCCACACCCTCGTATGCATTTCGAAGGTGACACGAACCACCGCGCGCCCTTGGACTGATTTTCAAAGCTCGATTACTCCACAACGAAGACGCGCAAATAGAACGAACCGTTTGAAACATACATCGACGAGACGGTGTCGAAACCACCGCTTTCGGCGCTATGCAAATCGCCCGTTCTGCCGTGGAGAAATCGAGCTTGGGTCCAGGGAGTATGATATCTTGCGTCAATCACGGTGCCACTCTCCACTCTCGCAGTCATCAGCCGGAGACGCAGATCTGTCTGTTCCGGGCGGGCCAACCAAGTCAATGCCTGGCCCTTGTGTGCGGATGTTCTCGACGGCTGTTGAGTGTCCCTCGAGCCCTGAACACTTTGACATGTAGCTCACACTTTGCTGTGGTCACGCTGCGTTGAGAGAGACTACCGCAGAGAAGCGGTAAGTACTTATTATTCGACACAACACGGCCCAACATGACGAAAACCGTCGAACTTACCTCGTTGCACTTTACACCACGGATCACTCGAGTCACTGCTGTTACTACGGCCACGCGGGAGGAGAATGGCAGCTTACAGCAACCAGTAACAGCTTCCGAAGTGCGCGGCCTCTGTGCACTGCACCAGCTGCACGGCACACATAACAAACGAATACCACATCCGTGACGCGGCGCAACCGGGGGCCCTGCAATTGGTACTGCACTGTCACAATGCCTTCATTGTTTCGCCGCACGCCGCCACTCCAGCACGCTCCACTCGCCCCTTTGGACCGATATCGGTGGGGTGGTGTTGCATTCCCCACCTACCCTGTCTCTCTGTGCTCGTGGTGGGCGGTGTGAGAACTCGATCATGAAGAGGAAGGCCGAGTCGCCGGCCCTCGTGCCTTCGCCATCGAGCGCCGTGGGCTCGTCGGCCGTTGCCGACCGTACAGCAAATACCCCCGCCGCCGACCCCGAGGCTGCTGGCACTGGCCGTGGTCACAAGCAACAGCCCAAACCGGAGCCAGGAAGCGGCGGCGGCGGCGGCGGTGGTTTCAGTCCGGCGGGCCGCAGCAGCGATGGTGAGAGCAGCAGCAAGAAAAACAAGAAGAACAAGAAAAAGAGGAAGAAGATGAAGCTCGAGGACGAGGGATTGGAGAAGTCAAGTACGGCGACCCCAGCAGCTGCGGCGACGGAGGCGCCCAAAGTAGCAGCATCAGCAGCAGTGGCTGCTGCTTCCGGGGAGGAAAAATCATCTCGTGGAGCGCTGTCGGAAGCTGCCGGTGCTACGGGGTTAGCTGGGAGAAACACGAAGGTAATTTGAAAGATTGAACGATTGAGACATCCTCCGTGTACAAGGCAGAAAACATGATGGGATCTGCTGCCTGCTTGCTACATAGCGCAATAGCTGCATGTACCCAGGTGCAGCAAAGCTGTGCTCGTGTGTGCTTGTGTTTTGTGTGTTTATTATTAAGGAGAAATAAATACACGCACAAAAAGACTACCCATTCGAGATATACTCACAGTCGAACGGGATGTGGCGGAGTCTTTTCAGTAAGTGGAGGAAAACCGGCTGGGTACTGGACTTATTTCGAGTCTTTATGAGTCTATACACTGATGATTGATCAGTGATGCCAGCTGGTGCGAAGTACAAAAACATCTGTATAGGTAAATCTGCATTTTACAATACATCCCCTGTAGTTCTCTACTGGGTCAACGACAAAATATCGGGGAGAATCCCTCCGTAGTGTCGTGTACTGTAAGATGTAACCTTCATAGGGGACACGGCGCAGTGTCTATTGACAGCTTGCTGGTTTTAGGAATTTAAGGAGAAAGAAATACTTCATGTTATGAAGTAATATTCATGTAAAAATCATGGAAGATGGAAAGAAGGCTACAGCAGTACATCACTCGTTTCTCAAACCTATAGCTTTTTGAATTTCACGGGCAGCAGGTGTTTCCCGCCGTTTTTTGAATTTACAAAAAAAACAGTTATTTGACCCTTTGGGGTAGCGTATAAGTGATGCTTACAGTAGAGGAGAATGGTACACCTGGTGCATGGTAGGTAGGGCATAGCGTTCAGTTTGTATCGTGTTAGCTGGTTTCCTGGAATGTTTGGTGTTGGTAATCAGCATCAGTAGAGCACGGAAAGTGTTCAAATGATATACATCCAATGTGGCGATTGTTGTCAACTTCCCTGGTGTTCCTCAGAGCGGTTTGCCGAGACATCTTGTCGCAACCATGTCTTAATCCCGTTGAAGAGCATCCGTCATGAAGGTCAGCAGTAGCAGCGAGTGGCAGTTGGTCTCTCCNTATTATTATAATTATTGTGTGTGTGCGTGCGTGTGTCTGTCGGTGTATCGAAATAATGGACCGAGCGCATGGGTGCCGATGGAAAAAAATCCTGACATAGAGAGGGAGGCAGGTGGAGCATCAACGTCATATTGTTCTTACGGAAAGCGTCTCAGAGAGAACCCCAAGATTCAGATTCGGACAGAAAATATGGCATGACAGCCTTGGTGTGACAAGCAACACAGGGGAGTATTGAGGCAGACAGACAGGGCAGCAAAGACAGATGAAATAAGAAAGAGAGAAACAGAGACAGAGGCAGAGATAGAGTGGCGTCAACATCGTCTTGGCCTTAAACTCCCAACCGCACAAGTGCCAGTACCCACTCGAACACACGAAGGTGTTGCACTTGTGTTCATTCCAGAGGCGTTGACTGAAGAAAGATATCACGGTTGTGTGTGGTAGGGGTGCTTGTATACTCACACAACAGTGAAAACAAACGCAATGCCGCACGTCAATGAAAACCTGCCCGTGCTGCTGTGTAACCGTCAGGACAACACCGTGAACGACGGGTCCTCTACACCGGGGGGGGCTGCCGGGGTACCATCCCCTCCCAAGGAACGACGAAGACTTGGGAAAACCCACGGAAGGGCGCGGAAAGAAGGGAACCCGGGATCGCGGAACGGCGGCACAGCGGCGGTGGCGGGGCGGCGGGAAGGACAGGGGACAGCAGACTCCCATCCCCTGGCTCTGGCCCCCGGCGGCCCCGGCCAAGGAAAGCCTCGAAAACACACGCTGTCCATCGCGATCCCGGGGTCGGTGGTCGACAACGCTCAGAACCGTGAGCTGAAGACGTACCTGGTGAGCGCCCGCGCGCGCGCATCCCCGGAGTGTTAGAGCGTTCACTGCCGTACGGTACGGTAGTAAGGAGAAACGTTGGCGGTGGTTTGGCCCCGGCGAGGATAAGTACTTTGTCGTCAAGGATCGAACGGTTACATGACACGGAGAACATTCGTGCAAGCACCCTTCTGTAACCCTCCCACCCCAGGCGCGCGCCCCCCGGTCTCCCATCAGAGGACGCCGAAATCTGTGGGATAAAGTTCGCGGGAGGAGTGCGAGCATTCGCTCCACCTCCAACGCGACTGCAGTATGTCGTGACGGGAAGCCGCAATCTGATCTATTTGGAAGGGATAGCAAAGCGCCGAACAACCCATTGTCGAGGCTGACGAGATAGAGACCGAGCACACGCTAGAATGAAGCTTTAACGCCTCCCTCCTACGCCACCCCCCCTGGGAACAACTATGGTACACAAAAGGTAGGAGAGATCGCTCGAGCAGCAGCGATATTCGAGGTCGATGAGATCGTGGTCTACGATGACTTGTCCGTGTCGAGGAAGGGCCAGGGGGGCGTGAGGGACGACTCGGCCAGCGTGGCGGCAGCCGGCGGTTTCAACAGGGGGGGGGGGTCTGCCAACGGAAGCGGCGGCGGTGGCGGTGGTGGAGACAAGAACAACCCGAACGTCTTCATGGCGCGGCTGCTGCAGGTGCGTCCCGTTTTTTCTCTTCAAAAAGGACAAAAACGCCCCGGTTTCTCTCCTTCTCCCCTCCCCTCGTGCTGCGGTAGTTGCTGGGTTATTTGTGCGCATGAAACGGAAGATGAAGGAAGGCAAACAGAAAACGAACAACGAGAATCGTTCGATTTGATTAATTCCGAAGGCACTTCGTCTGTGCAGCTTGTGTGCCGTCAAGTGCTCTGGTCGTTGGTCGGATCGCAACCCAAAGATCAAGAGGAAACCGCGGCATCTCTCCGTCGGGGTAGGCGATAGATGGTGCACACGCTCGGATCGAAACGCCCGCATGCAGCACAGCTGCTGCTGCTGCTGCTGCTGCTGCTGCTGCTGCTGCCGCTGCTGCCGTCTGTGCGCGGAAGGTTTTCACGACCCTTCCGAACTTGTACAGGAACACTGGGCGCCTTGCACGCTGAACTTCCGGTGTCACGCTAGACTCGAACCCCGCGTGCACGCATCGAATTTCATTTCTCTAACCCCCCCTCTACCCGCTCCACGCCGCTTTCGCTGCAGCAGAGCTTTACCAACGCATCCACACAACTCAAACCTCCTCTGTTTTATCCTATCGCCCCCCCCGGACCGATTGGCCATCGGTGATCGGTCTTGTGGGAACAATGCTCCGTCCTCTCGAGGACGCGTGGTCAATGGTCTAACCGCTAAGGCATGCAAAACATTAGAGTACGCCCCCCCCCTCCCCCCCACCCCGCTGTTTGCCCATCGGGGTTGGGTTTTCGTCGCTTGGCAACGACGTTGTAAACAAGCCAATTCACTTCGTGAACTCGGCAACCAGGTTACCGGTTTTTTTTTTTTACCTCCGGTTTTTTTTTTGCCGAAAACCATAATGGTGGTCGAGTAGATCATGTTGTGCGGGGTCGAGAACCCTCGCTCCGCGCAAGGGGGATGATCGCACCACGTTGTGTT